ACAACTAGTCCCTATTGTAATAAAGCCATCCGCTTCACTATTCCAGCCACCAAGAACAACCAACTTCGGGTTCTTGGATTAGAAACTAGTAGCAAAAGCTTTTTTCATACAATATATTTAACTGTCAAAAATATTTTAGCAAGATACCGCCTAGTCGAAATCTATAAAGACTAGTATAAAAAGTGGTGATTAAGGAACTACAAAAGGAAATACAACAATTGCAACAAAAATTAACAAGACTTGAGCAAATACAAGTGGGTGAATGTCAAGAAAAGAAAGAATACATTCATCTTTTCCATCAAGATCTTTCGAGTTAGGGAGATGGTATATCGAACGATCAGATTCCTTCTTCTTATGAAGACATGTTTGGAGGACCACCCTATACGTGAAACGACTTAAGTAAAAAAGTTAAACTCTTAAAACATCGATGCGCCTTTCGATGTAATGGCTAAAATTTTTGTAAGAAACTTCGTAGTTATGCATGCTCATCCTAGAAAAATTTTGGGATGGATGGCCTACGGGAAAGTTACACTAATAGGATAAAATTTTGAGGCTCTGAGGCTAAAGCAAGTAATTGCTTGATTGTTAAGAGTTTGGAATCTTAGAAATGATATTAGAATAACATACCAAACCAAATATGAGAAATAAAAACCATGCAAGACAAAGTGTTATGAAATGGGATCCACCTCTTGTATGGGACAAAGTACTATATGATGGAAGCCACCACTTAAACTTGTATGGGTCACCTATAAAATTCTATTTGGCTGGTGTATAAATCCGGGATAAAGATGCTGATGAAGATGTCAGTTACTTAAGTAGGAGAGATTATGAAATCTCTTAAGTAAAAAAGCTAAATTCTTAAAATATCGAGGCACCTTTTGGTGTAATGGTTGAAATTTTTGTAACAAACTCCATAGTAAAGTGTGCTCATCTGAAAGCAATTCTTGGATGAGTGACCTAGTAGAAAATTACACCAACATGACAAAACTATGAGGCTCATAGGTCAAAACGGACAATATCTTAATAGTTAGGAGTTTGGGATGCTACGCTATACGTCTTACACCCCACCCTTGATCGAGTCTATATTCGATGAGTTTAAAGATCTTGTGTTAAAATCTTCATCTTTTATGTTTATGATGACAACATATTCATTGGAATTCTTGAACTGGGTAAGCCCATGTATGATGACGACACATTCATTGGAGTTCTTGGTCTTGATAAGCCAATATATGATAATGATGATAGCATAGGGGATCCATCATCGTAGTTATTAATTCATATCAAGGACATAAATATGCTCAACTTCATTGATAACGAAATTAGCGCAACCAAACTTGGATTTATTAACCACCTTGTTATCTTCAAGCATTCTGACATAAAGCTCATTGATGCACTAGTTGCTGATGTTCGCATGATTAGTTAGTTTGATCTCTTCTTTGATATTGCTACAAAAAGGGAATACTATAATAAGTTCTGTAAGACATTTTCATAGAACTTCAAGCTTGGAATTCATGAGGATTCTCAAAACAAATTCAAGGTTCATTGACTTCAGCTTATGCTGAGGTCTCTCTTAGATAGGGAGAATGACACCGAGTGGATTTTTCGGATCGGTTCAGCCAACCAAACCCACCTCCTCTCTATTATTTTCTTATATTATTTATAGTTGAGTATGTGACCTTGTATATAGCCAAGCTGTCAATATAAACATGTAGCCTTTATAATAAAATGGTATAGAATATGATAAAAATTTGGAGATTGGTTTTTGGGTTATGTGTCCTGAGTAAATCATGTGGTGTAGCCCTTCAAGAAGCTTGTTATTGGAATTGTTCTGAGCTGCAATTCATACAACTCGTGAGTTGTCCATCTCACATTCTTTCCTAAAATCGCTACACCTCTTTCATTCAATGTAACCCACATCCTAAAATCTCCTCTCACTCTTAAAAGGCATAACAACAGTCATTAGCAAATTAGAAAGAGAGAACCATCCCTTTTCTCTAGGAATTACCCCTCCTTAGGCTACAAATTTAAATACTTATCAGCAATCACCTAGCTATCTTAATTTCCCAAATAATTTTGAATTCATTTCAAACCTAAACTCCATAGAATATCGTGATTTATGCTTGGATTCCCAACAATCAACCCTTATATAATATTGTTGCACTCCACAATAATAAGATCTTTGTCCTCTCACTATAAATTCGTCAAAACCTCCTCACAAATGTCAATATAATGCTACATAATATCACCCTCCTTCAAAATCTCATCCATGATCATGTTTTTAACATTAGTTGCTTGAAATAATGTCAAAGAATCACATGGTATGGATAGGGTCCTTCACTATAAAGACTTAATCTATGCCCGCATCCTCAACCTTTTTTGTATTCTTGAAAAAAAAAACCCTCCCTCCTTAATGACCCTTTTTAATGAGCTCCCATTAAGTTTTCCTATCGAATGTAGCTACAAAATTTTCACCTCTCTAATTCTAGTCATATTTAAATGAAATTAATGAAATTATTCTAGTACTTCTCCCCTCTAATCACTAATGGAAAATTCATCAAGGATAAAGTCAATATAACAAATTTTATTTCAAAATAAGTTATGTTGTCAACTCATATTCTAATAGATTATAACTTTGACATTCTCATGTCCTCATTGGCTCTAATACAAATGAGTTGCAGATTTTTATGGGATAATTTAACTATTACATACTTCAACAAGAAAAAGATGTGGTAACAATCTCTAGTTGCACATTTCTAAAATGTAATTACTCATTTATTATGTTGACTTAATTGTCTTTTATTATGCTGAATTATTTTTTACTTGGTTTAAGTATAGAGCAAATAATATTATACATAATAAGCTAAATTGGGTATTAGCTAATCAAATATGACTAATCTTTTCTCCCATTGCATATTGTAAATTCATACCTTATTTATATTTAGATCACTATCCACTTATTACACTAAATATTTCTTCATCCTTTAATAATTATGTATTTATATTAAAAATTTATTGGGCTTCATTATCTTTAGTTCCCCTCTCCAACATGCTTGGTCAATCATCTTCTTTTTGTTATATATTAAATTTTTAAAAAAGGTGCCTTAAGGATCAAAGTTGATTTTCTATTCAGCATCTCCTATAATTTATTAAAGCCCTTATGAAGGATAAAGTTAAGCCCCATCTCCTCCTTGATTTTGTTATAGATTTTAATGGTAATCTTTTGATGAAGGATGTTGATAATATGTTGCACATTCTTCTAATTTGCACACTTCTTGGCTTGCCTATAGAGCTAAAGTAAAGTAGTTAGCCGATAGAAAGATGATATTTACTTCTTCTTCACTATGATTAAAGGCTCAAAAAATTCAAATTATATTAAAAAACTCTCCACTTATAATGGGTGTTTGACCTCTCACTTAGCCATTATTATTGATGTTATCAACTACTTAAAGAACTCTGTAAACTTTAATATCAACCATTTCTCCTACTATCCCACCATCTCGGGTACATAAGTCTCTCTTGTTGTCTTTGTGGGCCCCACCTGCCTATTTTTTTAATAATAGAATTAAAAAAGGTTATCTACATTACCCTAAGAATTCGACAACTAGGCCCGAGTATTTAGTTTTGAAATTTTTTTTTTTTGGGACATAGTTGATAATTCTATATGTTTGTTATTAAATACTTCTTTCAATTTCTTAATAAGATCAAATTCATTGTCATTATTTTTAGTTCTACAACATCAACCCCCATTCGCAAAGTTATTTATAAAATTATTGCTAAGTTGCTTGCAAATCATCAAATGTTATTTGCCAGTCATCATGCTCAATATGATATCATTTATAATAGAATAAATAACTATAAAAGATCACTTAACAAAATCTAAGCTAAACTTTAATACATTTTGTTGATTTGAAATTATTTCCTAATCTAGTTCAACATCGATTAGGAAAGTTTTGATTGGATATCCGTACAACGCTGATATCATTTAAAATCCTGGTGTTTTTATTTTTCTCATGTTTATGTTGGATATCCGTACAATGCTGAAACGAAAACTTTCTAACTCTATCACTGCGTATATTATAGCCTGCAACAAACATGATTGATCGATATAATTGGCATGATTAAGTTTTGCCATATTATTACATTAATCAGAGTTTTTTTATAGCTTTGTTTCAAATTTATCTATAAATAGAGGTGTAAGATTGTTGTAATGCAAGAGGAAAAGAGTCAATTTGTAATCCCTATTTTTCTCCAATATGATGAAATCATCATCCTCTCTCACGAGCATAAGCATCTTTGTCGAACCATATAAATCGTCATGATTTTATTTCTAGTGTTTGCACAACACATATATATCAGTATTATTTGCTATTTTTATATAAATAAAATTATGATATTATTATAGGTAATTATGAGCTGTTGTATCGAATATTTGAATAGTAGAATCCTTTAAATCATAGTGAAAGTGCAGATTTTAGAAGAAAAATTATTTTTATATAATTTAAAATAAATTTAAAAAATTATATAAAAAAGACTAAAAAGCGCTAAATAACGATAACGAAGCCCCAAATGAATAAAATGACCTCCATTTCTACTGGCCCACTCGAATGACGGTTCGGGCCGGGTTGATAGCATCTCGCAGACTCGCACACGCGGAATTCGTGAGTGCGCGCGTGCGAGGAACTCACTCGCACCGCACGTGTCGCGCAGTGTTGTACGTGGCGGTGTCGGTACGGAGTTTGCTTCCCCGATCACTGGTCTGTCCGGCTGGTCCTCAAGGGAAAGATCCCCTGAATATTACCGCACACCAAACAGCAAAATGGGACCCACAGCTAAAAGTAGACGGTGGGCCCATCTCAGCCAATTAGGAGACAACAACGCACAAGATAATACAATCGTTTTCTTCCCTCCTCACGCTCTTTGGTTTCCTCTGGGTTCTGAGGGCCTCTACTCTTTAGTTCTTCGTAGCAAATTCTGAGAACAGAGAACTTCCTGTTTCGGGCGAGAGAGAGAGGGAGGGAGAGCGTGGTTGCGGAGAGAGAAGGGGAGCAGCGGGAATGGAAAAGGTGATGGAGTTCGGCTAAGGAAGGAGAGATGAATTCTTAATTTGGCAAGTTTCTGGTGAATTTACAAAGCTATTAGTGGACGGATTCTTGCTGTAAAAGCCTTTTTCTGGCTGATTGATTGGGTTCTTTGAGGATTCGAAAGCGGGGATTACGGTTTTGAATCGGATTTAAGACCCCGGAGAGAAATTGAGACAGGGCATGTATGTACATGGCTGCGTCGGAGGCTTCGGTGAAGGCTACCAATTGCCGTGGGGAGAGCACTTCCTCGGCCTGCAGCGAGCCTCACAAGAGTGAGGCTGAGAGGAATATGGCGTCAGAGGTCGGCTGCGGCTTTGCAGGCGGAGTCTCTTCTGGTTTAGGTGAGGCCTTGTCCGATTTCCGGGTTTGAAGCCATCTTCGTTGCCGGGGTGTTACTGCTTTTTGTTGTTGATCACTTGGTTTTCCCTGTTCTTTACTCAGATATGGATGGTGCGCTTGAGAACGAGCTGTGGCACGCTTGCGCCGGACCGCTCGTGACAGTCCCACGCTTGGGTGAGCGAGTCTTTTATTTCCCTCAAGGCCACATAGAACAGGTAGCTTTCTCGTCATAGTTGTATTGAACTCTTGATTCGAGGGTTTTAGCGGATGTTCTCTCTTCTTTCAGAGCTGCTAAATTTCTTTTCTGAAATTCAGGTGGCAGCGTCAACTAATCAGGTGGCTGACCAGCAGATGCCAGTTTACAACCTACCTGCTAAGATCCTTTGCCGAGTTGTAAACGTCCTCTTAAAGGTTTCTTCGTCCCTTTTCTTTCATATTTCCTTTCTCTTTCGGTAATTTGAGGTTTTATGGTATAAAGTGATTTCAATTTGCTCTAATAGGCCGAGCCTGATACGGACGAGGTTTTTGCGCAAGTGACTTTGATCCCCGAGTCCAAGGTATCAATTCTGGTATAGTATTATAGTTAACTAAAAAATATTAGTGCGGTGGAAAGGAATTTGGTCGTAGACCTTTTATGGCTTGTGTCAGCAGGATGAGAGTACAGTGGAGAAGGAGTCACTTCCTCCTCCGCTGCCGCGGCCCCATGTTCGCTCCTTCTGCAAGACACTAACTGCCTCGGATACAAGCACCCATGGTGGCTTCTCAGTGCTGAGGAGACACGCGGATGAATGCCTTCCTGCTCTGGTAAAGATCACTTTATGGCACTAGTTTTAATCCACGTGAGTTGGCTTCTGGATGACAATCGACATCTGATTTCCCTGAAACTTTCTTTATCTTGGCTTGTTAGGACATGGATCGGCAACCCCCAGCTCAGGAATTGGTTGCAAAGGATCTTCATAGGGTCGAGTGGCGATTTCGACACATATTCCGTGGTAATCTTTCGTGTTTGGTGCTGAATTTAGCCTTCAAATATAGGGATTAGATTCCGTTTGCTTACTTGGTTCAGCTAGGATTGATTCTACTAAGTTTTACCAGTATATGCTAATATGGATTTTTGATGTTTAACGCTAGGCCAACCAAGGAGACACCTACTTCAAAGTGGTTGGAGTCTCTTTGTAAGTGCAAAAAGGCTTGTTGCAGGTGATGCTTTTATATTTCTGAGGTATGCCTTTGTGCTCTCTGAGCTCGTACAGTGCGTAAATTTTGCTGTGGCGGTCAATTTACTGCCATTTTCGTAGAGGAGAGAATGATGAGATTCGTGTTGGAGTAAGACGGGCAATAAGGCAGCAGCCAAATGTCCCTCCTTCGGTTATATCTAGCCACAGTATGCACCTTGGTGTCCTTGCTACTGCTTGGCATGCTGTAAATACAGGGACGATGTTCACTGTTTATTATAAGCCAAGGTATGCCTCATGGTTCTCTGTACTCATCGTGTTGCATCCATAAGAACTTGAATAACTTGAACATGAGCTGAACATTTCTAATCAGAATTTGTGCAGTTCATTATAGATTTAGGCTTCGTTTGGGACGGCTTTCTTAGTGCTTCTTAAAACAAATTTTTAGTTAAAAAATTAAAATTTTTATGCTAGAAAGTTATTTTAAGAAGCAGTAAAAAAGCTGTCCGAAATGATGTCTTAAATGGCGTTAATGCATCTATCTAGTTCTGATAATATTTGTCTTTACCCGACAGAACAAGTCCCTCAGAATTCATTATTCCATATGAGAAATATATGGAGTCCATCAAAAGCAGCCAGTCTGTAGGGATGAGGTTCAAAATGAGATTTGAAGGTGAAGAGGCTCCAGAGCAGAGGTATTAGTTTTCCCTATCACTTTTTATCTCAGCAAACTAGCTTTTTGGACATTCAGGTGAAATTGTATGCTTCAATTAGTAAATTGTTTTTGTTGCTGGGTAAGGTTCATTGGTACCATAATTGATGTTGGTGATGCGGATTCAAAGAATTGGCCTAGCTCAAAATGGAGATGCCTCAAGGTAAAAACACAAAACAAATACTACTTTCTTTTGGGATAGTACAATGGTCTTTCCAACTTGCTGTGGTATAGTTTTCAACCCTTGACCAGTCATGTAGCGAATCAACTAAAGACTATTAGGGCATCAGCTAAATGAAATTCTTCTTATTTTGCTACATTAAAGCTTAACTGTTAACGTTAACTTTTTTACTTAAGGTGAGATGGGATGAAACATCTTCAATTCCTCGACCAGAGAGAGTTTCTCCATGGCAAATTGAGCCTTCTGTGACCCCTCCATCACCAAACTCTCTCCACATAGCACGGCCCAAGAAGCCTCGAACCCATACAATACCGGCATCTCCGGATGCATCGGTCCGTACAAAAGAAAGTACTGTTCCTTAGCTCTTATTGTGTTATAAGCTTTATATAATCAATGCCACCTCAAGATGCAAAATATGGACTAACTTTTCTTTAAACATCTCTCAGCTACATCAAAGGTCCAGGTAAATCCTTCCACTTGTGTTTTGAGGGTCTTGCAAGGTCAAGAATCCATGACCTTGAAAGAGGCATATACTGCTCGGAAGCCCATGATGTGGTCTTCATCCCATGATGAAGTAAAAAATATATCTTCCATTCAGAGGACGTTGGGTTCAGAAGACCAGACACAAATTATGAAGCACGGATCAAACTATGGAGATCCCTTATTTCCGACATGTATTGGTTCACGAGTATTAGGTTCATCACAATTTGAACAAAACATAGATGCTGTAAATCTTTTGCGTTGCAACTTTCAGGATCCACTTCCCCAACAGAGTATTATTTCAGGCAAATGGTCTTTATTGCCCCAAAGCTCGCACAGCAACATGGAATTAAACTTGAAGATGGCAGCCCAACCTGATAAGCCATCTTATCCTGGAATAGGAAATGGTAGATTTAGTAACCAGGTGGGTTATTTTCCTTTTGAATTTGAGCAACCTACTCCAAATTGGTTCACACATTCGCTGCCAGATTCCCAAACAGGGAACAGAACAAAGCCAAGTTTGATAAAACCTCAGCCATTGGAATCAGAAAAAAATCAGATTGGGAAACTTAAAGGGAATGGAAACTGCAAGCTTTTTGGGGTTCAACTTAATAGCAATTCTTCAGCATCTGAGTTACCATTGCCTCAGGCAAGTGTCTTAAATGACTCGGAGGTTCAGATTCAGCCAACTTCTACATTGCATCTATCACTTACCATGCAAGATCACCATTTTGAGCCATCGGAAGCCCCAACCTTGGGAGATAGTTCTACAGCAGCTACTATCAAAGGGGAAATTGTTCTTCCCTCTTTACGTAATTTGAAAGGTGTACAAGTCAGACAGCAGGGTAGCTTGGCAAGAAGTTGCACAAAGGTCCCTCTTCCTGTCATTGTTAATGCTTAATTCTATGTTACTATTTATAATATTTTTACCCTTTCCGATCTAACTATTAAGATTTTGTTACTTTTATGTTATATCATGCACTTGTGATGAAGCAAGTTTTTTCTAGTTGTACTAACAAACTTTATATCTTTTGGAATTTCCTTGCTCTGTTCATTATTGTTATCCCAATTTCTTCCAGGTTCATAAGCAGGGAATTGCTCTTGGCAGATCTGTGGATCTTTCAAAATTCAGCAACTACGATGAATTAATTATGGGATTAGATCAAATGTTTGAATTTGAGGGCGAACTGATGGCTCCCACCAAACACTGGCTGTTAGTCTATACTGATGACGAGGGTGATATGATGCTCGTCGGAGATGATCCATGGAGGTAGGCTTTTCAACGGAAAATTATTACGTGCGGCATCCGGATTCGTTTGGAGGCGATTCCGGACACGTCACATCACTCAGGATCCAGTGCATCCGGGTGATATGGCGGGTCTGGATTCACCTCCGGACAGTCCGGACACCGCACGTAATAATCTCTCACTTTTCAACACAGCACACTTTTTTTTCTTTCCTGTTTTTCTTCTGCCCTTTCATGCCTTATTTGTTTCTGTTTGATAGGGAATTCTGCATCATGGTTCGCAAGATATTCATCTACACAAGGGAGGAGGTTCAGAAGATGAATCACAGCTTGCTCGATTCAGAGGATAGTGCAGTTCCAAAAGGATTAAAAGATTTCAATTGTTCATCAATAACTGATGTAGAGAACTGCTAATGCCAACTCTATAAATAGCTAAGTTAGCAGCGCTTATTTGTAGGCTTTGAATGGTATATTATGCACTCAGTAGTGTGAAGTTTGGCTGTTGATACAGGATGAAGAGGACTCGCTGGGCTGTAAAAATTTTAATGGCTACTGAAAAGGCGTGGGGCATACTTCCCATGATGGTGAGGCCCATCTTAGCCTCTGGGAGTGCTGTTTGCCTCCTCTTCTTTATCTACTACAGTTCTTGTGATAGTGTTATGGTGGCGCAGAAAAGTATCTTTTTTGCACCTTTTTCTTGTGGGATCATATATTGTGCAAGAAAGTAAGAGTGGCCATTCTCTTTCTTCCAGTCTTTTGTAAATATTTCTTAGTATTAAAGTAGTTCAAATATTAAACTACTTGATCTTTCTTATTGTTTTTGTCTACCTTACTTTGAGACCTTTTTCTCTGTTCCTGAGTATGTATAATTGCACTAGTCATTACGTGCGGATGCTGAATGCGTTCGGAGGCCAATCAAAAGCTGCTACGTCACGCAATGCATAGTGCATTGGGTGACGTAGCGGCTCCTGATTGGCATCCAGATGCACTCGTGTCCGCACGTAATAATTTCTCCCTATTAAAGGTTGTTATTGAGCATGGGCAAATCAACTTGCATCTAAATAGTTGGGCATGTTGGTGTGGGCCAGTACTGTATGGTTGGAGAAGATTAGAAGTATTTTGCTTGGTTCAGCCTTTGGTCTAACATAAATGCCATCTACTTCTATGGGCCATTCAACATTCAACGGTCTAATTCAACATGTGTACTAAGGTCTAACGTTAGGGTTAGTTGGAGCACATGGACTGATAGAGAATGTTGATAGCTTTTTCTTTTATGGGAATGGTGAGGGCAAAAATTCAATTCTATAACAGTAGGAAGGTACATGTGTGTGGTAATTACGTAGTAAAAAGATCAATCAAGCTATTGTGGACATATCAGGCACTTGAAAAAGAAAGGTGGTTAGAAGAATTGCAAAAAGTATGTAGGAGTAGGTTTAGATGATAACATTAATGCAGTTCATCTTGATTTGTTGGTTGAAAATTTTGACTATCAACTAAGAGGTTTTGTGTTCGAATCTTATGTATGTGTCGTGCGGATGTGTTTGCCTTAATTAGTTTAAATATGTCTAAAAGAATATAACAGAATTGAAGGTGATGTTGACATCTTTTTTGTATGAGGTTATCATCCTAAACTCCTGATTTCTGGTCTCATGGTTGACAATCACCCAGTTGTTAATCATTCGGTCTTTGATCAACGCCTCAATTAATAGTCATCTAATTTACAATCTTCTTGGCCATCCGATCAGACTTCAATCACTTTCTAAAGTCAACAATCAGTGATCTTCAATCAATACCTCAATCACTTCTACAATCAACAATTCAATCATATTTAATCAATCATTCGATGATTTACAATCATTCAATCTTCAATCATCTAGACAATCAATAGCCCAATATTACATTTAGTTGACCTAGTGCATTGCCTTACACAGTGCATTGGCTTCTCTGATCTCAATAACTATCCAATTCACTTAAGTGAGAGTTTCTAAGGGTAAATCATCCATTAATGCATTCTTCAGTTATCATCTGACCCAATTGAGCTACCTTATATTAACTCAATTGATCATCCAGCTCATTCACCTCCAATCAAATTCCAAATGACTTCTGAACTTAATTAAGTTGTTTTGAACCTCACTCCTTGTTAGGGGTGCAAAATAGTCGAGTCGAGTTTAGGCCCTTATCGAGCTCGGCTCTTTAGTTGGAAAGCGAGCTCGTCTCACTATAAACGAGCTCGAGCCGGCTCGCAAGCCATGGGCGGTAATTTTTAAATTTAGGCGGGATTTTTAATAATTAGGATGGATTTTTAAAAATTAAGTGGGATTTTTAAAACTTAGTCAAAATTTTTTTTAAAAAAATGAAATGTTTAACATTTAAATAAAATTTAGGTGGTTTTTAATTTTTTTAATATTTAATTTTAATAAATAAAATAAAATTATTTTTAAAATATTAATTTTTATTTGAGCCGGCTCGTGAGCTCACGAGCCAAGCCGGCTCAAGCTCGAGCTCTACTCTTGAGCTCGATAAGCTCGACTCGCGAGCCCATAAACGAGTCGAGCTCGAGCCGACTCGGCTCACGTACACCCTACTCCTAGTGAAATGGACATGATTCATCACCATGGCTCTGTCAATAGTTGACTTGGTCAACTGAAGGTCTAGTCAAATCAAACCAAGTTGGGTTAAATCATTGACTACAATCAATTCAAATCCCTTCAACCACATCAAATTTTCAAATCCATTTCATTTCATAGTTCAAATACATCCAAAGCTAGTGATGAGTCTCACTTGAGAAATTTGACTTGGTCAAACCTATTGAATGGTCAACTTTCCTTGAACATTCAATCCCTTGTTTCAAAGCCATGTTTCTCAATACAATTAGCATTCACACACTCCCTGGAGTCCCCAATATCAACCATTGACCAATTGACTGGTCAAATAGTCAACAAACCCACTAAACCAAGTTTAAATATTCAAACTCTCCCATTCAAACCATTTCCCTCCATACACAATCTCCAATTAAAAACCCACTGTTTGCACTTCTAAAAGAGGAGGATAATTCCGTTCATCTGTTCCAAGCTCCTTCCATGGTGCTTATCCGATCGTGGAGTCTTCTACAAAGTTGTAGTGCTTTTCGTAAAAAAGAAAACAATCCATTGTATGACTCCTAATTAGGAATAATTATTAGGTCCGGACACCTGATGTAGCTTTACATCCGGATGTCAATAACATGTCGCCACGTGCTCTTACTCTTTACCGCGCAGCCCGACGACCCAACCAAGAACGGAACCCGGTAATTCTATGTTCGGGTATTGCTAGGTATTACTTGGCAATAACGAGAAATACCGCTCTATCAATGACCAATACCTAGCAAAACTGGGGTATTGCTAGGTATTGCTCGGTATTGCTAAGTATTGGTCTTGACAGATTGGTATTTCTCGTTATTGCCGAGCAATACCCCGGTCTACACAAATCAGTCAATACGTAGCAATATCGGGTCTGGGTTGTCGAGCCGCGCGGTAAAGAGTAAGAGCACGTGGCAACATGTTATTGGCGTCCGGATGTAGAGCTACGTCAGGTGTCTGGACCTAATAATTATTCCCTAATTAGATCCATCTAACTAAGGTAAATCATAATTCCTAGTTTATGAATTTTAATAAATAATTTTTTGTAAAGTGCTTTTCAAAATGTAAAAATGCCCCCCATCATTTAATGATTTTTAAGCTCTCTAAAATTTCGTAATATTTGGTTTACTGGTTTTGAAGAACGAGCTATTTTTCATCATTAGGGTTTTAATTAATCTATGCATGAATTGTACAAAATCTGGATGGTTGATCTTAGGATCAACGGCTCAGATATTTCCGTTTTGCTTCCTGTACAAACTGGCATCATGTTTGTTTGCTCGGATCTTTGTCCGGCACGATCTCAGTCGTTCGTTTCAAACCGTGGGCAATCGAACGATGTAGCACAGTGCTGACGTGGTTAAGTTAAACACCGTGGTGTTAAAACCCATGCCGCCGCCGCTTTGCATTAAATACCAATGACGGCAGGCGGCGCAATCATTGATAATTAATGCTTCGCCAGCTTATTATTAGTATAAAGCCTATTTTTAAATTATAAAATATGTTTTTAATTCAAATAATTCTAGAAAATTCATTTCTTAATGGTTGTTCGTAATTTTGGTGGCTATGGATTTAGAATTACAAGCTCTTTCAAATAAAAATAATTCTATCCGAAATGAATGAATATTCAGAAAACAATTTCAATAATATGATTTTCTGTTGTTATTTAATTAGCTCAAAAATATTCATCAAATTGGTCTGACATTTGGCCACACTGAATTTCATGCTGTACTCCACCTATAATAATTTTTTGAAATACAAACTCAATTGATAATTGAATTTACATGAGTTATATAAGCTTTATTTTGATGATAATTGAATTTACAGTGTGGATCAAAATATAAGCTTTAATTTGATGAAATTTTTTGAATTATTTTGATGATAATTGAAATTTTTTGAAATACAAACTCAATTTATCTACACTGAATTTCATGTTTTACTCCACCTATAATAATTTTCTTAAAAGTTTATATAAGTTTTTTGTTCAATAATTCATAACAGACTAAAGAAAAATCATAAAAATTTGAAACCACCTTCAATCAACTCTAAATCAATTCTACAATCAAACAAAATTAAAACACAAAACCAATTTTCATTAAAATTTAATTAATAATTAATTAATTAGTAATTAAATAAATTCACTAAAAATAAAATATTGATCAAATTATTCTCAAACGTTTAAAGATTGATATATGAGTTATCATTAACCTACATTATCAATTTCATGAATTTTGGAGTTAATTTGATATTAAATTTAAATAACTTATGTTTAATGTAAAAATATCCTATTTAAACAATTCAAAAAACACCTAATTTCAATTGTAATTAAATAAATATAATAAATATAATTCCACTGACTCCATTTGGAGGACATTTTAACATTTGATTTCAAGGCTTTTAATACATTTTAAATAACCAAATGATCCCTATATATTATGCACAACTCTTTTCAGGAAGACACTAACACATTAGATTGGAAGAATCTTCAAACCTTAATAAACCGTAGGCCTTATACATCATGCTTGACTCTACTTAGAGAACATGTGTATTGGATTGAAGGGTCCATTTTCTATTCCTTAATAAATCATTAATAAAACTTCACAGTATTTTGTGGTCATCTATCCTATATGGGGGATGATTGCTTTTCATTTGTAATTAAGCCTTATGATTTGTACATTAGTATCCCTTGCACTTAGAGTTATTAATCTACCAGTTCTTTATAATTAAATGATCAACTTCAATCTCTTAAAACTTAAATAATAAAGCCCAAATGCATACAAGTTAAACTTTACTTTAATTACCTTTTTGATTTAATGAACACACTTTAAATTGATGCAACGTAAATACTAAACTCGTATATATAAAAGCCTCACAGCTTCTTCACACACTTAGATGATTTGATAGGACAATCGACTCAAGCATAGGTTAGGTCAGTGGTGTGGTTTACTTGGCGGATGCTTTGCTTGAAGAGCACCCTGTGTTTATTTATTTATTTTTAGCACTATGGATGTCATGTATTTTATATTTTTGTTAGTGCACTTAGGCTATTTAAGGACTACATTATAAGCATTATGATATTACATAATAGCTCCGCACATTTTATATTTCTAGATGCTTTTATGTTTCTTATACATGTCTTTACATTCATACAAGAGTTAAAGAAGAATGTACCAAAGAACTATTGTATTCATATATAAGTGTCTGTTAATTATAGTTT